GACGTGTAGGGTGGGTTTAACATTTTAAGGTGGTCATCAGCCTTGTTTTCTTGGGTAATAGAAGAAAACTGTTGTTAAAGTGCTTCCAGATGATATAATCTGTATGTAAGTTTGTACATAAACATGTAAATTGATTATATGCTCTGCTAATCTGACACAGTGCTCCTCCTGTGACAGGGGCTTTTCGGGCCAGACTAATCAGCAGAGTCTTCAGGGGCTCTGGTTAAGACTGTCCCCGAGGCTTTGGCTCCCTGTGGCCACCATGCTCATCCACGCATCACAGGGGGAATATTGAGATGCATTCAGTTACGTGCTGAGTGAGAGGGAAAGTAGATAGCACTAAGGCGGAAAAAAAGGAGTCACAAAGAGAGGAGTAGTGGAGTGCATTCATACATCTATCCATCTATATGTCAGGGGAGGATGAGAGAAAATTCAGGGTACAAATTCATCTTCCTTCCACGAGTAGTAGGAGAGAGTACTTATTGTACTCAGCACATCCATGCGTTATTCAGGGCTAAAGGCAGCACTCTAGCCAGCAGGTATGCTGGTACACATGCTCGTCTCATACATACAGATAGATGGATGGTGGTTGGGGAGACAAGCTATTTGGAGCATTAACCTAGGACCCCTGTGTCCTGCCTCAGAACAGGTGGCACATCTGCAGCAGCCTCCACCTCAGAGGCAATCTATGAATTTAATCGGGATTCACAACATTTGGTAGACTTGTGTTTGGAGTTTTAATGGACTTTTAAAATGTTTTGATGATTTCATGTTGCTGAAATTCCCTGGAATGATAGGCTAGTTATTTAATTGAGCTCGGAGAGCTGAATGCTAAATTGCAGAGAGTATTGGGAGGCCATAAAGGGAGGTGAGGCTCGACTGTAGACAGTAAGATCATCTTTGGATTCGTAATTATCGAGTTTGCAATGCTTTACTGGGTCATAGTCAAAAGTGCAATTGCCAGCCACCAAAGTTAAAATTAGTATGTTAAAAAAATATCTGAAATGCAACTTTTAATAACATTTAAATAAGCATAAATCAGTAGAAATATCAACATTTGGCACTCACTCAGTTGCCTTGTGGTTTTCTATTTCCATTCGGAGTTCAGTGAAAGAAGCAGATACACAGAAGGCAGCATTTAGCACCTCCCTTGTTGCTTCTTCCTGAAATGGGATTTCAGTAAATGATGCTATTTTAGACTCATTTCCAGTTCCAACATGCAGGAAGTAATTAGTTAACAGCGAAAGCATCCATATTTATATGTCGCAGCAGAATGTTTGGTCGTAGCCTGAGAAGTGAAGCAGCAGGGATGACTGGCTGACTCTAGTGTGAATGTACATGTGTTTCATGTGGATGATGAGTTACGTAAGCAGCGCCATGCCTCACTGCTGTGGTTTTGACTGTGTATGATCCTGGAAAGTATGCTGTGGCCCCCCGAAGAACGATAGATCTAGTGGGCGGCTTTGAAATTGAGCATAGACATTGAAATACATCACTTCATGGTCTCAGGCGAGTGTGTTTGTTTGAGTGTGACATGTTTGCAGAGGGTGGGGGGGAAAAAAAGAAAAGGGGGCTGGGTTGGGCTTTCTTTCTCGCGTCTCTCTCCAGCCTAGAAGTGGAGTGTCTTTCCCCCCCTCCCCCTCTCTTCGAGCTGCTGGCCCTCGGTCAGGTAACAAAACAGGATAGTATCACAGGACGGTGAAACCCAAGTGGCCCCGCCTGCCTCCATATGTCTGTTTATGTGAATGTGTGTGTCTGCGAGGCTCTCACCCGTACCTGTCATATATCCTATACCTTATCTTCTTTGTTCTCACTGTGTTTGCCTGTTTGCTGCACCCCTCTAAACACACCCTTTTCCCCCGTGCCCTCTCCCACAACCCCCTTGTCACACACACCCCAAACCCCCATATGTATGGTCTGTGTTTCTAGAGCCGTTGCTATGCCAACAGCCCACTTTCTGTGCCTTAGCTGTGGGAGAATCTGATTTGAACTCGAGTCCACTCTGCCTCCCACTGGATACTGTAGACAACTGCAGGTTGTAAAGCATCAATTTCCATATCAAACCCCCAATGGGTCAGATAGAAAAAGCATTGGCACCAAAATGTAGCAGTTGTAGTATTACCATCTGCCGCAAATAATATTGTTTTTTTAGAAATTAAATAAACCAAAATCAATCTTCATTTTTCAATTCACTCTATATTGTATGATCTGGAGGAAGTATCTTATTTTCTGCAACGAATCTGCAGCTCCAGCCGCTTTGTTTAAACAGCCTGGAGGCAGCACTGGAGCAGAGGACCACCTCAGGTGCTGTAGAGCAGGGCTGGTAGAAAGGCCATTCCCCTGGCTGCACTAGCTCTTACCTGAGAATGCACTGAACCCCTGAATGAAGCATGAAGGAGAATGAATAATTGAAGACGTTCACTCCCCCATCGATAGTTGGGAGGTGGAGGAGGAGGGAGGTGCCTTGCTTTACTTCAAACCCTAAGTCTCTCTCCTTGCTTTAGAGCTCTTTTGAGCAGATCCTCAGATCTTGAGTTAGCGTCCTACCCACCCCTTTTCCTCTCCTCTCAAACTCGTTGCCTGCAGTTTAGGAAAGAACTAAATAAACAACCAAGCCCCTGAAAATGCAATTACCTCCCTTGGGAACTAATACGACTAACACCAATTGATGAATATTCCCTTCCCTCGTCGAAATAGTTAACATCCCTCCTTCCCCCCGTCTCGCTCTGTTTCCTTTGCTGGTTAAAGTGATTGTCTGTTTGCTTGTCTTGTTTGCTTGCTTTTTCTGTCTGTCTATTTGTCAGTATATTTTCCCCCGGTTCTGTCCTTGTCTTCTGCAAAAATGTACACATTATTGCATTCAACATCAATTCCCATCCAGATTTGCAGTTTAGAGCGCCCAACAACAAAAAAGTATGACCCATTAAATATACATTCTCTCTGCTGGCCAGACAGACAGACTTTCTATGGGCTCCTTGTTTTCTGCCCGTCCAAGGCATTGCCTTCACTCTCTGAGTGACAACTACTTGCATATATTATATATGCATATGTAGCCAATGCCAGTTTGTGCTTTGGCCCTTGTGTCCCCAGTCCACACTTTTAGAGTGTTGCTTAATGGTTGGAAAATCAGATTAGATTCAAAGTTAATTTATATACTTTATAGTTATTACTTCATTTCTTGCAACGCCCTCTTTTGTAACACTCTAAATGTGCACTTCCTATGTTCTTACTATTTGTCCCTTTTTTGTGTTTTCAATGATATTATCGTTTTGTATGGTATATCTACGCCTTATTTCTCTTTCATACTATATCTCATCTCTCGTTTATTTTGAGCTCTCCACATAAAGAACAATGGTTCTTGCTCTCCTTTTCCTGGTGATCAATTGTATTTATTGTCTTTTTCTTTTCTTCTTTGTGCTCTTTTTCTCCCTTTAGCATGTTCGTCCCTTTGTCTCCTGTTAGAAATATTGTGTGTGCATAGCTCTTTATTTTTTGTCTCTTATTCTTTGATACTTATCAGACTGACCAAACTAAGCCTCTCTTGTGTTTCCAGGCTTTCCTTCCTTCATTCCCTATCTTTTCTTGCAGCTCTGTTTTTCTCTCTAATGTGCTGGTGTTTGTAACAATCTCACTCTCTGTTTGGTTTTGGTTTCCGTAACCTCACTGTTCATGCTATTAATACTTGCTATCTCTTCTTATACAGATAAATAATTTTCAGCTTGCTTTTCTATTCTATTTGAACCTTCTATCTTACCTACAGTCTTTATGATTTCTGTCCAGTGTCTGTGCGTGTCTGCAACTTCAGCATCCTCTCTGCGTCTGCTCATTTCTTTTCTCTTTCTCTGTGTGTTTCTGTTCTTGTTTTTCTTCTGTATTTACTGTTTGTTTATGGCCTAACAGTGTTTCAGTGTTCAGCTGCTCCATGTGCCTTGACCAGTCATCTATGGAGTGCTGTGTGTCCAATGTGTCACATTGCATTGGTCAGGACTTTCGCATTTGGCTCTTTCTTGTTCTATCTTCTTTCTCATTCTTTCTTTACTGTAATCTCATAATACTTATTGTGTTTTAATTTTTTATCTTCTTTTGATTTTTTTTTTCCTTTACACTTTGTGATTCTTCTTGTTTTCATGATGTATGAACATAGAGGTTTTTCTCCCAGAATGCTTTTCCCACTTTAATGTTATGTTTTCAACAATCCTTGTGTGAAGGAATTAAACTTAACATCTATTAACATTTGTACCTAAGTACCAGCTCTGCCATGGGAGATCTCTGCTCTCTCTATTATGTTTTTATTAATATTTTGTGTTGTTGATGCAAATTCTTAATAATTGAGAGATTTAAACACACAAACACTTTACAAAACTGTTCAGCATCTGTCCTGTTAAAACGTCTGGTCGTCTACATGTGGCTATACATGTCTGTCTGTTGTGTATATATAGTAAAGTCATGTTGCTATACATGTCATTATACATGTGTGTCTCGTTAATGTCTTTAGAGGGAATAAGGGTTGATCATGAACTCTAGGGGGATTGGAGATAATGAATTGGTTTCTATGAATTTTAAATTTAGAGGTTCTGTTTTCTTTTTCTGTTTGAAAATGTGTTTGTTTACTTGGTGGTGGAGCTTTCTTGTCAGAGATATGGATGTTTGCCACACTGGACATATGTATAGTCATCTCAGATTCCAAGTTTCATCAAACACAACTCACCATATCAAATGTCCTCAGTTCTAGGGCCCACCGTTAATCTGTGGAATCTTTGGCAGATTTTATTTGGCTTCGCTCATGATAGCTAGAGAAAGCACAATCTACTTTGAAGTGACATCTATCCAAAAGCAAACTTGAAAATTGGTCGTTTCAGATAGGCGGTTTTCAAGTGCCAAGCAGGTGGAGGTTGGACTCCCTGTGTGCTCAGACATTCTCTTTTTCTGGAGAAAAGTTAGCTTCTCAGCACATGTCCTCGCCATTTTCCCTCCGGGTCAACCTGTGTTTTTGCTTACAGGGGTAACAAGCCTGCTAACAGCCCCAAGGGCCAGCCTCCCGATGCTGACGGCCACTCCTCCGTAACCGACCTGGCCAACTCACTCACTGGAGACATGGTGATGGTAAGACCCTTTATCCCACCATCCTTCCATCCTATTCATGAATCTCGATTTATACTATTTTGCTAAATGACACCCCTGCCCGCCCGTATTTCCAATTAAAGGATAAGATAGGTGTTATTCTATATTATTTTATTGTCAGCATATCCCATTAAAAGCCAAAACCCCAACAATTTGATAGCCTGTCTTATAACTTATTCTAAAAAGGTTGTTTTCTAAAACAACTGAGCTCTGTAGATCTTAGCAAATATATTTGGGACTATTTTTGGTTGCACTAGTTGTTCATTATGGCACCAGAATGATGAAGGAACTTGTGAATGTGCTTTTAATAGTTTTTGGAGAGCAATGGAGCTTTATGGAACAGAAGAATAAGCTATATTAGGCTTTGGCAACACAAACAATTGGATCAGTTTGTTGTTAATTTGGGGCTTATCATGGGATTTATTTAGGCTTATTCTTGAAGGCAGATTTTAAAGGGGCAATGTAGTATTGGACTTATGTAAGTGTAGGCCCATTGTGGGACTCAAAAGAGACAGATTTAAAAATGAATGCTCAAAATTGAAGCAAACAAGGCAAAGATATTCAGATTTTTTGTCTTTAGTATGGGCCAAGTTTCAAAAACACTGTTTACTGTCCTATATGGATTGTAAATACACATGTCTTTGCTCCCACTTTATAAAGCAGGCATTGTGTTTTAAAGTTGTCATCTGAAAGTAGTTATTCTCTCAGACTTTAGAAAGCTTTGTCCTGAGCCACAGAAGTCAGTAGTCTTCATAATGAGTAAACTGACCTTGACATGTAAATTCCAGTTTGGTGTGGAAGAACTTGACTAGCCTGCGCAGAGTGCTGAGCTCAACTTCATCTAACACCTTTGGTGATGAATCAGACTACAGACTGTGAGCCCGGTGTTATCAGCCAAAATCAGTGCCCAACGTCATTAATGTTCTTGTGGCTGAATGGGAGCAAATCCCTCCCACCGGGTTCCGAAATAATTTGCAAAGCCAGAAACCAGAAGAGTGACATCAGTGTGATGCCTGTGGTTTTGAATTTAAATGTTCATTGATCACATGTATATGTCCATACTTTTGGCCATGTGCTGCATGAGTTTAATAGTCACCAGGTGGGTCTAGTGTTGCAAAGTCATCCTGCATGCACAGGTTGATTTAAAGCTGCACATGGTAATAAGGGAGCCATAATAGAAAAAAACACACACACTGGCAGTTCAAGCCATCCAAGGTGACTCACACTGTTTGATAAATTAGACTTGGAATATTTCACACTTGCTCTGCCTGTCAGTTCTAAAACCCATATTGACAAATTCTGAGTGAGCAAGTCTTTGTAACTTTGAAACTGAAGCTCTGGCCTGAAGCACAGAAATCAACAGTTTCAGGTAGTGCTCTGCTCTGGCAGAGTGTTTGCATACAAACCAGAGCAACCAGTCCATTCTTTCTCTAAGTGTCATTTGTGGCTCTCTCATAAAGTGATCGAATGAACTGCTAGTCGTCTTTTCTACCCTTTAAAGTCCTTAAACGTGTCATTCCATTCCATTATTGTTATAGAGAGGAAACAAAAAAGGACAGAGACAGAAGGTGGAGCCACGGGGAGAAAATAAGCATCCATAAAGACAAGTGCAGAATGCCAACCTTGAGCTGTGCTTCTGTTCCCTCCACGCTCCTCATTCAACTCTCTCTCTCTCTCTCTCTCTCTCTCTCTCTTTCTCTTTCTCTGCTACTCTTTCTGTTTGTCTCTCACTCTCTCTTTCCCTCTTTGCTGTCTATCAGATAGTGGCCTTTTAGTGCACAGCAGTGATAAAGCAGTCAGAGTGGCTGTGAAAGAGAATGGGTGGTCTAAAGCTCCTCTATCTTCAATCTGAGCACCTCCTGCCTCTTAAGAACATTAGAAAGGAAATAAAACTCTCTCAGTCTTCTTAATGTCAGACCAATCTCTGCCTTTGAGCAGCTGCTTGAGTATGTCGTAATAGAAACGCAGCTCTAAAATCTCCTCCCCTCGCAGCTTCTCTGTGTCACGGTCTGTGTGCATGTGCTTGTGTCAGAGAAAGTGTGTGCCCTTGGACTGAAGTGGCTGCTGTTGCTGCATGGGTTTATATTTATTTGAGTGCATGTGTGGCCCTGCAGTTGTCTCCAGGTTCGGAGGATGATGACGGTGAAGGTCCTATCAGTGAGAAGCTGGGCCGGATCCAGTTCAGCATAGGCTACAGCTTCCAGAACACAACCCTCACCGTCAAAGTGCTCAGGGGTCAGGAGCTACCGGCTAAGGACTTCTCCGGCACCTCCGACCCCTTTGTTAAAATCTACCTGCTGCCCGACAAGAAGCACAAGCTGGAGACCAAGGTCAAGAGGAAGAACCTCAACCCCCACTGGAACGAAACCTTCCTATTTGAGGGTCTGTGTTATTTCCACTCTGCAACTCTTATTGTTGTTATTACATTTTTTCAAGAGGCTCACCAGGTATCTCATTAAAGCCACACTTCTCTATAACATTAAATATTAAAAATATTCTGAATAACAACACTATAAACGAATGTTAAAAAATAGATAGGACCTGGAGTTACTATCTGCAACTACACCGCTAGATGCCACTTAATCCTACACACTTGTTCTTTAACACTGAATACTCTTGATAATATGCTTCAGCAGGACTGTGGGGGTGTAGTTTTTATCAGATTTGACTGACAGTGGCCCCCTAACATAAAAAAAACAACGCAAAGTGTCTTGACATCCCCTTTTTACACTTGAGCCCAGACCACGAACAAAAAAAATACAGACATCTCTCATATTAAATAACTAAACTGTTCAAACTTTAACGAAAACTTTAATCATTTTGTTTTCGTATAAAACCAAATTACTCATCATAAGAAGCTGATTGAAAAAATAGTGCCTATTTTCTCAATCAGCTTTGAGTGCTGGAGGGGGATTGTTTTCATTCTCAGGATACATTTAAATTCTGTTTAAAACAATAGTCAGACATTTTGGGAAGTACACTTATTTGCTTTCTTTAAACCACACTGTGTTAACTGTTTCCCTCTGCTAAGTTAACCAGCCTCTGGCTATAGCTTTACACTATATTTAATGGACAGAATCAATCTTTTAGTCTAACTCTCCACCTCACTAAGGTTTGTACCATTATTCCATTAAGTGTTTATGGCAATGTTAAAGAGCCTTGCGGGAGTTCTGTGAAAATTCAGGTGTAAAATTAGAACATCTTTGCATCGATACAACCTCCAGGTCAATAAACAACAGGTTTTGTAAAAAAAAAACAAGAAAAAGAAAAATCAGCAGCAGCCACACAGACAGCAGTGAAGTGTATGAATTAGTTTCATTATGACCATTGTGTTCGGATGACAGCACAATGGTAAAATAGCCAAAATAATGTTCAAAAGGCTCCGACCCTTTCCAAAATTAGAACAATAGCCAGTGCTCTTGAAAAATAAATGAGATAGGTCTTTGTGACTAGAGTATAATGATCCCTCTCAGTCATTTGAGAGAGTGCTGGCTGGTCCTGCAGTTTTTAAAATGCACTTTGGCCTTTGCCAAATTCATCCGTGTTAGCACAGGGCAGAGTAATCTGCCTTCTCAGTACTGTCAAGAATATGTTTTCCACTCTCTGTAACAGCTCTCCCCTCAGTGTATCTGTTTCTGTCTCTGTTTTAGGCTTCCCTTATGAGAAAGTGAGAGAGCGCACTCTATACCTTCAGGTGTTGGACTACGACCGCTTCAGCAGGAATGACCCCATTGGAGAGGTGTCAATCCCCCTTAACAAGGTGGAACTGGGCCAGATAAAGACCTTCTGGAAGGAGCTCAAGCCCTGCAGTGATGGCAGCGTAAGAGACGGAGGGAGGGCCATCTGGCTGAATGATGACCAATCTAGTGTTTTCACTCAGATGTAGTGATTACTGTTTTATTAAAACAAGTGTAATGCCATTTGTTGACTGCTTTCAGCGTGCAAGCTTGATTGACGTAATATTAGGGAGAGCGACAGGCTCAGCTAAGCCTGTCTGGTCACTGGACCATCTGTGTTTGGCACAAGGGGTTAGAGCAGAAAGGGCAGTGATGTAAGATTACACAACAAGCTAGTGAGGAAACCATAGTTTGATATTCCCTGATGAAACATGATATTACACTGGGTGATTCATACTCCATTGTGTTTGTGTATGTGCGTGTGTTCCTCAGGGGAGACGAGGAGACCTGCTGGTGTCTCTCTGCTATAATCCCACTGCCAACACCATCACTGTGAACATCATCAAAGCGCGCAATCTCAAAGCCATGGATATCGGGGGCACGTCAGGTAAAGAATCCTCCTTGTTTGTTTAGTCTTTTCTCTTTCTAACCCTTGTTCACCTGCCTGAAGCCCCTCTCATTACACTGGAAGCTCTGCTCACGCGCAGCTCCATCTCTGTGTTCAAACATTTACTGACCTACCCGTGCAGAGGACGGCGGCCGTCTGGCTCCTAAGATGGCTCACACTGTAGATAGCTGTGGCAGCAAGGTGACATTACATCAAGCATCTCGCCCTCTCTCTTTCCTGTTCTATCTCTTTCTGTATATCTATGAGGATCTTCAGCCTCCCAGCCAGATCTGTGTCAGCTCAGTCTGGGGTTAGTTTTTCAAGTATCAGTGTCTTTTGTAAAATGACTGCTTCCTGCAGTAGTAGGAGCGATGTCTGTTAGTAATACAGAATATGATAATGCTCCAGAATGGGTAGTACAAATCCCAGGCCCTATTTCCATAAATACTTCCTCATTTGTATGTTTCTAGCTCAGGGGATAGGTTGACCTTGAGCTCAAACTAGGTATCTGCTTCCCTGCTGCCTTCCCTGACTTTAACAATTAGGAGGGTAATTGCAAACCTGACCCTAAAAATCACCTTGCATGGGCATCTTCATCCTTGCTCTCGTGTAAACTGCTGTGTTCTGCGTTCACATTGCAGATCCATATGTGAAGGTGTGGCTGATGCACAAGGACAAGCGTGTAGAGAAGAAAAAGACAGTGACGATGAAGCGCTGTCTGAACCCCATCTTCAACGAGTCCTTCCCCTTCGATGTGCCCGCCCATGTGCTGAGGGAGACCACCATCATCATCACCGTCATGGACAAGGACAGGCTCAGCCGCAACGACGTTATCGGCAAGGTAGGTACTTCTTGTTGTTGCACTAGTTTTAGCCCCTTGAGCTCCTTGTTACATAAATGTGATGACAATTTGACATCATGGGACGACTGAGCACTTTCAGACAGTAAGTGGTCGCCACCGAGGTCAGTCAACTTGCCACGGCAGCTTGCCCTGTGACCATGGCAACCATAAATTCATTACTGAATTATACAAAAAAAAAAATAAATCAGCAGAGAACAAATAAATCAATGAGGAGAAACAGTCTAGGAGCAACATTAGCTTAAAAGTTTAAATATCTGTTCAGGGGCCAATAAACAACATTTATGATATTAGTTAGTAAAACTTATTTTATTTTGTTCTATTAATCTTAAATCATAGTGCTAACCATTTCCTTGTTTGGGGAAATTAACTTACTCGTCCTCTGGCAAGGAGTTAGATAATTAGATTGATACCACTCTCAAGTCTGGCAATTGAATATAAGGCTACAGCCAGCAGACATTTAGCTTAGCTTAGCATAAAGGAGGGAAACAGCTAGCCTGGCTCTGTCCAAAGATAACAAAATCTGCCTACTAACTCCTCTTAAGCTCACTAATTAACACATTATGTCTAGTTTGTTGAACCTTGCAAAAGTGTGAAAACGACAATTCGCCGTTTTACGGGAGGTTACAGTTTCTTGGCTGGGAGCAGTTGCCTGGCAACCAGCAAAGACTCCAAGGAGTTACTGCTCCCAGCCCAGAAATAGGCTTCATTGATTAAGGCTTCAACGGCCAACAGTGTTAGATATTCCATATCCAAAAAAGGGTTATTGATTATTCTACAAGTCTACATTATCATCCCTTCTCCTCCTCCCCTCTCTCAGATCTACCTATCGTGGAAGAGTGGACCAGCGGAGGTGAAGCACTGGAAAGACATGCTCGCTCGGCCGCGTACTAACGTCGCCCAGTGGCACGCTCTAAAGGCCTGATCGCACCGCCCAGCTCCCTCCATGGCCCCTTCCCGTCTCCTATTCCCCCTCTTCCCTCCCCTCCTCTCACTCCCGTCCTTATGCACAAGACTGACTTGCTGCCAGGCTGCGAAACACGGGTACAATTAGCCATCTGCTCTCTTAAACCTTTAAACTCTTCTTTCAAAATCTCTATTCCTCCAAAACTCTCTCTTCTTGTTTTCCCTGCTCTTCATACAGCTGTGTCTTAATTTCTGTCTCCCCACTTGCCAATGGTCCCCCTGTTTCTGACTGTCTGTATGTCTGTCTGTCCTTATGCACTTTGCCTGTGGAGGTCTGATGTTCAGTTTCTTTGTTGACCCCTTGGTTCTGAACTGCACTGCAGCCCCTGACCTATTTAAGGTGCCAGTCCCGTGGGATCACAGAGAATCTTAAGTAACGATCTAGTCTCATATAATCCTATTGTATGACTATTCCAGGTACACAATACTATACAGTATGTGCTGTATGTACATGTACATATTAATATGTTAGGCGTATAGATTGGCAGAACTCCCCCTATACACATGACTAGTATACAGTATGTTATCCATATCCTGTCTGCTGTTTCCCATTTCTCCTGTCTCTTGATTTGTCGCCTTGTCCTTGTCATCCGTCTCAAGTGTATTATATCCTCTCCCCATTTCAGTCCTCCCTTCTTTTACTCAAAAGTGGTTTAATGTTCAGCTGAAGTTGTCGAAAGCAATCAATACTCGGTCTGTGATGAAACCATCTGAACTCAAGATGGAATTGTTGATACTGCTGTCTTTTCTCCCCCCTCCTATTTTCTCTTCTCTATGCTCTTCTTTATCTCCTTTTTCCCTATTGTTCCTTCTTTCTCTTCCTCTGGCACAATATTAGTGACCCCCCCCC